TATTAAATTGTTCTTATCTCAACCTACGAGTTGCCCAGTTCCCCAGGGGCAGAGGAGAGTGAGTGAGCAGCTGCATGGTGTCTATTTGCCAGCTGGGTTAAACCACAACAACTGTACTCACAAGACTCTGATGGATCTCAATATTGCCTAAAGGAGCTCCATTAAAGCGAGTCAATTGGTGCTTTACTTTTGACCAGAAGCACCTATTCTTCTAAGGGTACTGGCTTCTGAGTTGGAATAAAGGAAGGGCTAAAATTAGATTTATTTTTACCTGTCTTTAGATAAATCGATTACTTTGCTTCTACATATAAATACAGATTGTCTTAAAAAGAAATCTACCTGAAATTTCATTTTCAATTGACGAACATTTTTCTTGTGTTGTTCACAGTTGCTATTCCCCAAAGGGTATAACATGCATTACTGTGTGGGGTTTTTCAGGACTATATGCGCTTACAACTGGAAAGTAAATCTGGCTGAAGTGCCAATATTTCATTTTTCTCTTTGCAGACAGGAGAAGGCTATTTTGAGGCTTTTAAAAATGAACTTGAAGCATTCAAGATGAGAGTGAGAATCTGGTCACAATCACATGGCTTCCAAACTGTGCTACTACACGATTTCAGTGTCAATCCTGGTCTTGTAGGAGAGCTGACATCTTTTTCACAAGTAGGTGTATTATTTCTAGAAGTTAATGTAACTAAAGTAGGATTAGGTCCTGCCTTGAGAAGCTGTACCTTTCTGAAATATAAAGAGGATTATTCCTAGAACTGCTAGTGCTCAGGATATAACATGCAGTATTATCAATACGCAAGGCATACATGGGCTTTCTTTTTACTTGTTGGAATTCAGAAAGCCTCAGCATAAGGTCAAAAGCATATGATAGTTCACTGCCCTTGCATTTTCATGCTTAAAATAAACACTGCATCATAAAACCGATCAGACGCTAGAACTATAATCATAGTCTGTACCACGAAATGAGCTTTCAGTGTAAAATGACTAATCCTATCGTTCAGCTAAGTCAAGCCTAAGAAAAGTCTCCTGTTGTGACAAAAGGAAATTGGGAGTACTTAGGTCTCTTGTTATAGTACTAGTGATGACCACATTCTGGAATGAAGAAGCAACTTAAAATTGTCAAAAATTAGGTATTAGGGAAGGAGTCACAATTGACACTACCTATTTGAAATAATTTAAGTACCTCTCAAGTAATATCAAACAGCTGTATTTTAAGTAAATGTGCAGTCAATTGCTAGAAGTACTGAGACCAAATACAATCTATGCCAGCAAATTTAAAGCTTCCTGACACAGTGAGATAACATCAGCTGAAGAATTTTTTAGAGCTTATTTCCTCACTATTGCAAATCTGTCTTATCTTAAGATGGACAACACAAAGAGTCCAACTTAAAGTATGTTTCTCTCTCGCTCTCCCCCCCACATATACAGTTACGAAGAATTAAGCTATTTTTTATCTGTTGCAGAACACAGGGGAGCTACAAGGTTCCATAAACACAGATGCCTGCAGTTTAAACTCTATGATACAAAGAGATGAAGAAGAATCCAAAATGATGGACACAGTATAGTACTCTTAAGACTGAGGCCAAGTATTCTTTTTTTTCTTTTCTTTTTTTTTTTTCTGAAGAAACAAACATGGGTGTTTTCTTGACACTTATTCTTCTGGGTACTGCACTTTATTTTTGGTGTCAGATTTTTTTGTTGTTGTTGTTGTTTGGTTTTAGCAGGGAAGGGATTTTGAAGGGTGAGTAATTCAGAAAAACTTTTAATATTGTTTGAAAATGTGCTGCTAGGTTTTTGGTTGTCCTTGAAGAGCAGGGTTCTCATATTGCCGAATGTGAAACTGGATGTGTTTTCTGCTACTAACCTTGCCTTTCATGACTTTAGAAATTAAAGTGTGAAAAAAAAATCTGCACAAATACAATGTTTACAAGAAGCAACAGATTCTTGATAGAATCTGCTATTGTCTTACTACAGAGGTGGACATGTTTTACTCTATGAAATTTGAGATCACAACTGTATTCATGCTACCTTGCAGACATGATAAGCTCTCAAATTTGATCATCACTAATAGCAATAAATCAATATCTGGTTATCAGTATTTCAGATCTGAATGGATTAGATTAAAACACTGGCTTTCTACCTCTACTAAGGGGATTTAAATGTTACATTGTGCTTTCATTAAACATAACTTGGTTTTGTCCTAACGTGTAAGCAATGCTTGTCTACATATGAGTGCTGAGTTGTATGATTTCTGGGAGTCTGACTTTTCTTGTTCATAAGGCTAACTTCAGATTTTTTTAAACCAAGTCTCGTTATGGTGAGAAGTATTTGATGGAGAGGATGGAGGGAACTTGAGGTACAAGGGTTAGGCTAAGACTTCAGTTTGAAGAAAAAGCTTTGTTGCAGTTCATATAGGGTAAGCCATCATATGGGGTTTGAAAGGTATTTCATATGCTACTACACTTATAAAGTGGATTTCTGTCATTGCCAACTCAAACAATGAAAGTGGAAAATCATTAAAAGCTTCCAGTTTGAGGAGCTGGAAATCCAAATTCTATTTCCAGATGAGGCCTTTGACAGAACCTCTGCAATCCAAAATTCTACTGTGCATTTCTAACTTACTGCTATTACAGCAGTTCTATCCATAAAAACGTGTACTTCAGTTGGAAGACTCCTGTGAAGACAGCTCCTATCTCAAATGGTATCAGTACACACTCATGATCCTTTACTGTATTGTTCTGATTGTATCTAAGGTCTGGAAGGCATCTAGATTTTAATAGTTTGATGAACACAGTCTACCTGCAGTTGCTAATTAAAAGCTGTGCTGAGATCCAGTGATTTTTCAGTAATTTTTAGTTTAGGCTATAGCAGAGATAGGGAAAGGTGTAAGCCTGCAATGTATACCAAAGTGAGTATTAGTACAAATGCAGTAGCAAAAGTAGGAACTGCAGGTCCACTGATGGAAGTAGCTTTTCATGTGCCTTGTGCTCTCTGCCAGTTCTTTTGCAGGCACACTGAGGATAAAGGAGCAAGCACGAGCTTTGTCCCAGGTGCAAATTAGAGATAACCACCTTCAGTTGTAAAGTAATTTTTTTTTTTTCAAAGTTTGACAGATACTCTGGAGAAGTGAACACTGTCTCCTCCTTAATAGATAATTATTAAGGGAAACTAGTAACTTTAGGTTGTTTCTTAACTGAATGTTATGTGCAAGAGTAGTAAGGGCAGTGTAGTAGTGACTTGCAATTACTACCATTAGCAGTAGAGCCACATTGATCTAGGAACCTGTGATATACTGAAAGTTATTTTTAAAGTTTCTAAGGGGCTAAAATTGGGTAGTGTGGGAATAAGTGTCAAATGGTAAGCAGATTGGCTACCTGAGTGCATCTGCTTTTTATTGAAAATAAAATGCATAAATAGAAGTAAGCAGCACATCAGGGTTTCTCATTGTAATGTGGTAGCTACTGTTTCCTAACCGTGACTTTTTAAAGGAAGTGCATCTCTAAGCTCAGTCTACAGCCTCCACGTAGACGTTTCTGAAGATGAAAGGACAAGTGGTCAGCCTTTTGGCAGGCTTTCTTTGAAGTGTGAGGAAAGCTGCTTGCAGTGATAGCTGCTGTCCATATTGTTCCTTTACAGCAAAGGGAAAGCTTTACAAATTCTACAATAACCATCTTTTTTAGACTCAAATGTGTCTCGATGTTGATAATGCTAAAACCAGACTTGCAAATATAGTCCAGCATTTGTCAGCACCACAGTTCTGTAGTCGTTTACAAACAGTCACTGCAAAAGGAGACTGGAACCTGCATAAGTAGGACACAACTGCTTCAGATATTGCCTAGACAGAGTTGTTTGTTCCTTAGGTTTTGCTGACTTGAAACTCTCAAACTGCTTAGCATAAAAAAGAGGGCTAGGAGAGTTCACTGAAAAATAGAAATGTCTGCATTACCTGGACTGTTAAAAAGTGTGGCCTGTGGAGGTCTGTAACTCCAGTTATCTCGTGAGTAAATGAATACAGAGACATGAGTTAGTCATTTGAACTCATGAGCTACAAAAAAAAAACTTGCTGCAGGAATATGACAAAGTTAGTAATTTGGCCAGTAGAAATCGCACTGGCATCAATGAGCAGTTGGTTTTTCAAAACATTAGAAAAGACACGTTCAATAGTCAAGATCATCTAGCCTACAGGCTTACCAGATTACACTTCACGTGTCCAGTGTCTGCTGTCTTTTTACTAATAAAGTCTTATATAAATGCACAAAGACAGAGGCTTTACCGAATGTGTTACACATCATTGAAACTCTGTTTCTCATGTCTGCACCATAGATGCTCTGAGGGCAGAAATATAAACATAGTAATAAGGCCAATCCTCCAAGCGTTAAGGGTAATTTAAGCCCAGCAAAATCAACTAACATCTCTGCAAGCAAAGCTCATAGAAGGTGACCGTATTCCATGAAGTCAACCTCTATGTATGCCAGTTCTGGTCTGAAATGGCTTTTTGCAGAATGGTGGTTATGGCGGCCCACAGGTTCTGGCTGGCCCCAACTAATCACACATTCAAGAAGCATGCTTTCATGTCCTTATCAGTACTGCACACTACAATCCGCAAGTGACTAAATCAATCAATGTGCTTTGTAATTAAGCTGTAGTCTGAAATGTGTTTCCTTCACCAGTCAGTATTTGCAAACATAAGTATTTTCTGAATAAGAGACACAAGAGTAGCTGCTTTTGTTAAAAAAAAAAAAAAAGATATATTTAATATAAAAAACCACAGCATTAAAGTGAGAACCTTAGGCAACAAAGTTTTATCATAATGTAAGTTAAGAACATTACACTTTAATTACTGACCAGTCTGGTATACTACTTAGATAAATCCTTGATTGCTGCATCTCATGTAATCAAGTGTGAGCTATGACAGATAAGCAGAAGTTAGACCTGTTTTCACCTGGGAGTGGCAGCATCTTTCTGGCTCACATCTGGCAACTTGGTTTGGAGGAAAGCATAAATATGTGGCCAGATCTTATTGGTTTCTGTTCCAGAGAAGGATTTCAATAATCCTTTTTCCCTAAGGAAGAAAAAGAGGAAAGCATTACAGAATTGAAATTGTCTAATAGTTCCAGGATCTCTGCCTCTTTTAAGATTGCCCTGGAAGGAGTGTGTGAATATACGTGTGATTTAACATCAAGAACAGCCATAACATTGGGAATGCAGGCTGGACATGCATTACTCTGTTCCTCAAACAGTAAGTTATTGGTCACATCAGTTCATAAAACTGACAGATGTCCACAGAGTACCTAATAACAAACAATGAAGGGTAAAAACAAGAAGCAGTAATGCAATCATATAGCACATGCTGTACAGCAGTCATCCACACAACTGTGACTACGATAGGTATTGTAAAGTTACACCTCAAGGATCAAAGAAGGTGCATCAGAACAAGCAAGTCAACTAGACACAATCAAGTGATTTTAAATTCGTTCTAGTAGCTAGTTTTATCTGTAAAGTATGTTATTATCAGTAATAATAGCTTAGGCCTATGTCTTACTGTGGTGCTTTTGTAGCTTTCTGAAGTGAAAATGCCTGAACATCAGAAAAATCATTGTCAATCCAGAAAAACTCCTTCTTTAAAACTTAACTACCCCAAAGATGGAGCTTCTAGTTTTCTGCTCAAAAGTTTTGGTAAAGCATAATGAGGGGTGGTAGATGTGGAGATAGAAGAAAGACAGTCACTTCAGCATGTTGTCAAAGAGTCTGATTTCTTTGTCTAGGCAAGAGAAGACAGCTCTGCATGGTGACCTACTATTTTCCATGTATTAACAATGTGATATTTGCAGCTCTACATGAAGAGAAACTTTGTGTTTAATTTTGGCTCTTAAAAGAACTAATAATTTGTAATTACTCTGCAGTGCAAATGGCAGTATTCGCAAAAAGCTACTTATCCCAAAGAGTCTTGCTAGCTATGCCTATCACAGTCCTGGTCTTAGAACAGCCACTTTTAAATCCACATTAACAGTTTCTCTATTTATGTATTGCTTCTTGACCTCTTGCTCTTGTCAGGAGGGCTTCTACTTACACATCCAGAAGAGAAAATACTGTTAAAGCTTCCCAAAAGAGGAACTGTCTCTGTTACCCTCACTAACCAGTGCCGTGTTGCTCAGAACAGTACTATAATGTATTGAATACCTATGGCTCCCTTGGCTGAGAACAAAACACTATGCAGCCCCTTGCTCACTCCTTGCCTTGGTGGGATAGAGAATAAAATGTAACAAAAGGCTTCGGCTTCCACACAAGGACAGGGAGGGTGGTTCTCCGGGGTCGGTACTGGGGCTGGAGCTGTTTAATATCTTTGTTGGCGACATGGACAGTGGGATCGAGTGCACCCTCAGCAAGTTTGCTGACAACACCAAGCTGTGTGATGTGGTTGACACACTAGAAGGACATGGGGGTGTTGCTTGATGAGAAACTCAACATGAGTCGACAACGTGCACTCGCAGCCCAGAAAGCCACCCATATCCTGGGCTGCATCAAAAGAAATGTAACCAGCAGGTCTAGGGAGGAGATTCTGCCCCTCTGCTCTGCTCTACTTTCCTGAGACCCCACCTAGAATACTGTGTTCAGCTAAGGGGCCTCCAACACAAGAAGGAGATGGACCCTTTGGAGCAAGTCCAGAGGAGGGCCACGAAGATGATCCGAGGGCTGGAATGCCTCTCCTATGAAGACAGGCTGAGAGAGTTGGGGTTGCTTAGCCTGGAGAAGGCTCCAAGGAGATCCTGAAGCAGTCTTCCGGTACCTAAAGGGGGTCTACAAAAAGCTGGAGAGAGACTTTTTACAAGGGCGTGTAGAGATAGGACAAGGAGCAATGAATTCAAACTGAAAGGGGAGATTTCAATCTGGTCTAAGGAAGAATTTTTTACAATGAGGGTGGTGAGACACTGGAACAGGTTGCCCAGAGAAGCTGTGGCTGCCCCCATCCCTGGAAGTGTTCAAGGCCAGGTTGGATGAGGCTTTGAGGAACCTGATCTCATGGAAGGTGTCCCTGCCCATGGCAGGGGTGTTGGAACTACATGATCTTTAAGGACACTTCCAACCTAAACCATTCTGTGATTCTGTGGTCACTTCCCATGGAGTCATGGCCTTCTTTGGGCACAGCCACCTGGTCCAGTGTGGGTTCCTCCATGAGTTGCGGGTGGATTTCTGCTCCATCATTTCTCTGATGGGCTTCAAGGGGGCCACCTGCTGTCTCCCCATAGGATGCAGGGGAATCTCAGCTCTGGCACACCTCCTCCTGCTCCATCTTCACTGGCGTCAGTGTCTGCAGAGTTGTTTCTCTCAGATCTCAGTCCTCTCTCTGCTGCAGCTGCGCTGGGCCCAACTGACCCAACAAACACTGGCAGCTCTGCCAAGATGAGTTCCACACCACGGACGCTCCAGGAGCAGGGTGCTTCGGGGCACTCCAAGCCACAGCCCACCACCACCAGGTGAGGACAGCGGCAGGCCCGCGCCGCAGACAGCCGCCTGCGCCTTCTCCCTCTCTCTGCTGCAAGTCACAAGTGGTGGAGGTTTCTTTGTGCTTTCTTAAATATTTCATTCACAGAGGCACCGATGGGCTTGGCCCTGGCCAGAGGTGAGTCTCACTTGGAGCCAAGGAAGCTTCTAGCACCTTCTCACAGGAGCCACCCCTGCAGCCCCTCCTCTGCTACCAAAATCCAACACAATGCATAGTGCTCTTTGTAAAGTTAAATATGGCTGCAGTGAAAGGCTATTCTGCTAAGCAGGCTCCGCTGTTCATGCAACAGTGGAAAACATTTTACAGGGCTGATGTCCTGCTGAGCTGATGAAAGATATGCTGCTACTCGTACCACGTTCACTGTTGCAGCATCTCTGTAATTGATGAGATCTGTTCCTCGCTAACACGGGAGAAGCTTTTAGAATGTGGAAGAATAGATTTTACTACTTACCGATAATATTCTAGAACAGGTTTTGTTTGTGCGTCATAAGCCTGCAGCCTCTTGGTAACCGTCTCTGGCTTATCATCATCTCGCTGAACAAGTGGCTCTCCAGTAATGTCATCAATGCCCTAATCATGTTTAAAAGCAAACAACAGGCGTGTATTTCCATTTCAGTATGTTTTGTGTAATTTTCTATTTTGATGATGATCAGTTTCCAGTTACTCAAGATGCAGATTTCTGCTTGTAAAGAGAAAGGCTACTGTCCATATCTTATCTGGAATATAAGATGTTGACTTTCCAATAAAACAGTCCATCAGTTAAAAATATTTTCTCAGTAGTGGCAATGAACATCAGGTCATAGTAACTTGACTAATTTGTCCTCTGGAACATTTGTTGAATATGGGAAATACGTAGACAAAACCTTCATATATGAGGAAAAATATTGTTGGTGATAAGTTCCTGCATAACAGGAAACAAGCAGGAGACCAATTTGACCTTTGTTTGACATTACTGAAATGGGGAAAGGAGTTAATGGCCCTTTGATTTTAAGTTGCAAAATGGAAGAGTTATCATTTAGCAACAGCTGTACAAAAAATGGCATAAAAGCCAGCTGAAGTTTTTCTGGGATTCGGTAAACAGGGGTAGAGACCTAATGTGTCAGCTATGACAGCTCCTATTCCTACTGCACATTTCACCTCCAATTTACTGAATTGTTTTAAGTGATTACAGAGCTTTTAAGCCTTGAAACCAGCAATGATGGAAGAAATTATTGACCACAGGAATATTTTATGAAGGACTAGCTAGTGGCATAAAAGTTGGCTCCTTCTTAGGTGCATCAAATTGTGCGTCTAAGGACGGAGTATGACCCACCACAGATATAAGGGCCTCTTTATCCTTCGTACATATTAATTAAATCCTGAAGAATTTTGATTTTCCCTAAATACAAGTTTAATCTGACATTTGGAGTGGAAACATGAGTGATCTGGCAAGTACAAAGCCAATTAGACCACAAAAATGCTTTCCTGCCTGCATTGTGGCAGTCAGTTTCAGAAAATCAGTAACCGTGAATGTTCAGTAAGCTTCTCTGTTCATGAAGGTGTGAAGAAAAGTGTTCCAGAACATCTGTATCATATTAGAGATGGATTTATATGCTCAAACTTACCTTGCTTATATAATACATCCTTAACTCAAAATAACTTACCTGTTGCCATCACATTTCACCTGGAATATATAACACACTCGAAGTGTTTCTTTTAGCATCTGTGCAGACAATCATACTAGTGCCTTCACTGTACCTATCAAATATTGAGCCTTCAGCCTTGCGTTAACTCTAAAGCCATAATCTTTTGGTTCTGTGAAGTAAGTAAACATTTTTCAGGTCTATTAGACAACAGAGACAACTGTATTTGAGCTGTTCAGCTCCATTCCATGGTTTCACTTAAATGTTGCAATCCACTTCACTATGTTGTGATAAGTGTGCTAATTAGTGGAAGGCAGAGTAGAGTGTTCCTAATAGTAAAGCTGTTGCAGCTGAAGCCCACTCTTTGATAGGTCTGATAATTCTCTGTTGCAGGTTGCCTAAAAAATAACCATGACTTAAACCACTGTATTTTAAACAATACAAAGGCAGTGTTCCTAGTTGCTCACTTCCAGTGCTTACTTGCTATTTCAGCTGGTCTCTTTTGCTGCAACACTGAAATCCCAAAACTACAAGGCCTGCTGTGCTTCTGACGTAACTTTAAACAGAGCTTCCAGGTGAAATGTGATGGCAACAGGTAAGTTATTTTGAGTTAAGGATGAAATATAGCTTAAGCTGAGTTGCACTAAGGCTAATCTGAGTTCCTCAAAAATGTTGAGGTAACAATGTACAATCGTTATCTTCAAGTTTATTATTCTGCTCTAGGATGCTTCAAGCCGTAAGCTCTTTGATCTGTTGAGAAACTTCCCTGACTGGCAAGTTTCTACATCTAATTTTGCAATAATGACAACTGTTACCTTGAAAATACCTGTCCCAGTTAAGCATAAACACAGTGTGCTTCCTAGATAAAAAGAAGGACGAAGGAGAAGAAAACTGTACATTTTGGACTGTACAGGCTGCAAACTTGCAGAACAGGCAAAGAACATGCCCAACTCCTACGCCAGTGTGCAAGACTTAGAGTCTTCCAGATCAGTGAACAGCTTTAACAAGAGTTTACATAACACCATGGTGTGACCAGGCAGACCATCTGCTCCGCGTGGCAGCAGAGCTGCGAGAGGAAGGAGAAAGGTTCAGGAGCATCAGGGAGTCTGAGAAAGAGACAGCCTGGTGGGGTCACGCTCTGCTCAACCTGAGACACAAACAGGAAGAGCCACAGAAAAAAAAACAAGATGAAGGGGATTCTGTATCCTCCCCCCATCAGACAGAAGGCAGTAGCTCAAAGGAAAGGAGTGATTGGAGGCAAGTCTGTGCTCAGGGCTACAGGTGAACCCCCTCCTTGTTCACCTTGTCCTCCTAGATGCCTCTGTACAGCAGGTGTGAGGCTCTGGAGGTGGAAAGACAGTTAATGGGTGATGTGGATGATGGTCCATCTACACCAGAGCTGTTGCCAGGGTCAGAAAGGCCTGGCCCCAGTATCACGACCACCTCCATGAGGAAGAAAACAGGTTATAGCTGTAGGTGACACCCTTCTGAGGGGAACAGAGGGATCGATATGCCAGAAAGACCCTCCTCTTAATGAAATTTGTTGCCTCCCTGAGGCCTGGGTTAGGGACATCACTAGGAAACTTCCAAGACTAGTGTGGCCCTCGGCCTAGTACCCATTACTGCTCTCCCATGTGGGTGGTGATGAAGCCACAACATGTAGTCCAAGGGCGATCAAAAGAGACTTCAGGGCCCTGGGGCGGTTGGTAAGGGAATCTGGAGCACAGGTTACCATTTCCTCCACCTTCCAGTTGTGAGCAGTGACACTGGAAGAAACAGATGAGCTCACTCTATTAATGCGTGGCTCTGTGGCTGGTGTCATTGCCACAATTTTGGGATTTTCGATAACAGGATGGCCTACATGGCACCAGGCTTGCTGGTGCCAGATGGGATTCACCTTTCTCAAAGGGGAAGGAGGGTCCTTGTTCATGAGCTAGCGGGGCACAATGAGAGGGCTTTAAACTAGACTTGAAGGGGGAGAGGGATAATATCAAGCTTGCTGGTGACAATCTGAGAGCACCTGAAGAGCAGCAGCAGAAAGGAATTGCAGCCACTCCAGCCATAAGTCAGATTCAACGTACTTTTAGATCAGGTCTAAGGAAGAATTTTTTACAATGAGGGTGGTAAGACACTGGAACAGGTTGCCCAGAGAAGCTGTGGCTGCCCCATCCCTGGAAGTGTTCAAGGCCGGGTTGGATGAGGCTTTGAGGAACCTGATCTTGTGGAAAGTGTCCCTGCCCATGGCAGTGGGTTGAAACTACATGATCTTTAAAGGTCCCTTCCATCTCAAACCATTCTATGATTCTATGATTCATTCTGCAAGGGACAAACACATTGCCCATCAGCTTTAGCTTCTACCGGGGCACTAACATGCCCTGAGAGGCAGGGTTTTACCAGAAAGCTTCTGAGCTCCTAAGAGATTAAATGAGCCTTATTCTTCTGAGCTGTTGTGTTTTGCAACAATATAGGCAAACAATATTTTACTGCCATTACCAAACGCAATGTAACATTTAGCACCAGCACTGACATGTATTGCTTACCTGCACTTTGGGAGGACTGAACTCAAGATTGTAGACTCTGCCACTAGCAGGGTGGATCCAACGTGCTGTGAGCCGACATTTTATGGTCTCAAATGGTACATCTAGGTCAATCACAGTGTCTATTTGACATTCTTTATCCAGGGCTTCTGCCTGAGCAACCGTTCTGGGGAAACCTTTTTAAAGGAAACAGCTCTATAAAAATCTGAAGGCAGAGTTATAATGAAAATTACCTGGATTCAGTCATTAGAGGAAATAATTGTCAGGCAGAAAAAAAAAGCATCATTATACTGTAAGGGTTGAAGAGGTATTGTATTTTCCAAGTGTTTTCTGTGTAACATGGCACTTTAACTTGTTAAACGCCTCCCAGCTTCTATTTCCTCATTTCAGTTAATCATCTGCCCAAAAGTGTAACAAATAAAATAATAATAAAAGCATTGTATAAACATTTTGAACAATAAAAGCCACAGGCAGTTCACTCAGAGGTCTGGAACAACCTAGAAACCTTTGTGACAACTCTTACTTCCACAGTTGTCTAAGTCTGGCTTAAGAAGGTGACCATTACAAATCGATTTTAATCAGTTGCAGTAAGCCCAATGTACCTACCAGAGGCAGTCCAGTATTAATTTTATGTAAAAGAGTAGCTTTAAAAAGAGTTCTGGAAAGTCTAGTGTGTCAAACTATCCTCGGGAATGATGACTGTGAGAACACTCAGGCTGCACAGCAATCTGTCTCTTCACTTAAAATCCACTGCATTTTGCCCCATGACCTCTATGGCTCCAGTAGTGTCCCTTCAAAGGCACAGATTACTACTAGAGAAATCTGGTGGTACTTAGGAAGGAGGAGTGAGAAACAGAGAATAAGAAAACCCAGGTGTCCACAAAGAATTTTAAATGAAAAATTGACCACAGAACTTTAGCAGTCTAAGCTACTGCAGAGCACGCCATTGCACCATAGATTCACTAGAATAATACCTCTACCCACAAAGCTCTTGCACAGTCTTCACAGTATTCAATAGTTTGTAATTTTCATTATAATAAACAAATAAAGTTCTGCACAGAAGCATGTACTGATAGGTACAAACTTAAGAAACTCTTCTTTGCCTAACATTGGTTGATGAGTCCATTGCCTGAGTAAGGAACCAGCCAAGAACTAGCCTTACAACAGAAAAAAAATATTTTGTGGTTTTTCAGGCTATTGGGTCTTGTCTAACACATCACAAAAGGAAAGAATTGATTAACTCAGACCAAGCTCTCGCTTGTGCATTAAGTCTGACGCACCTGGTTTGCTTCACAGTCATCAACTGCCCTCATCCTTTTTCTCTGACATTCGCATTATCTCATGGAAGTGCTTCTAAACGTTAAGAGCACAGGGAGAGCCAGGACTCCAGCACTGCTGTTCTTTCTTACTATTGACAAGCTAGTCAGCCACCACACATCTATGTTATGCAGCTGGAAAATTAGTTTGCTTTGGAACTTAGTAATGAGAAACTTCCTCAACAAATTAAAGTGTCTTTACAAAAGCATTTCACTGAAACTGAACCAGTGTTTGCTGCATACAGTGTTTTTGCAATACAGAAAAAATAATCTACAAGATCTGATGAATTATGTAGAACCCAGGAACACAGAGAAAAGTGCCCTAATTATACAGCACATAAATCTAAGCAGATCATACCCATGCACAGACCACTCAGACTGCTACATCTGCTATGACTCTAGAAGCCACCAACCTATTGTAAGGCAGTAGAAATGGGTATTTGGCTAAGTGAGCATACAAGCAGCTCAGTAACTCTATTTAGTTTGACCTCATTGACCTCAGCTGTTTGTTCTAAGTTGCAGATATCAAACAAAAGACTTCCTGGCTAACATATTTCAACAGAACAGTATTGTTCCTGCAGAGCTGACTATGCTAGAGCTATCCTTAGTGTAATTCTCTGAGTCTCATTACAAATGCTGATGCAGACAAAACTTCTGCTCCAAAAGTTTAAAGAAGGCAGCACGTTAACATGAAGCAGAAATTGATTTATTCTCTTACAGTCTCCACACCATCCTCCTGGTAAGAGTTGCCAGTGTGCCCAGCTATACTGCAACACATCCAGATCCACAAGGCTGGAACTGTGTGTACACGGGGCCTGGAACTAAAGAAAAAAAACAGCTGCAGCTCTTTGCTTTATTGATTAGGTTTCATTGTGCTGTTCACTGTGGGAATTAAGCCTTTGTCTTCATGAAGGAGGAACATAATTGTGACTAAAGCCATCAGAAAAGATCACTGTACTAAAAGCAATTATAATAAAGCACTAAGGGACAGAGAACACTGTGGATTTTTCACTTCCTCTAAATAAAAAGCCACATGATAAACTTTTTAGTTTTATCTGCTGAGACAGGTTGTGGCTAGAATCCAAAAACACATCCAGCCTAGACGCTATCTTTGTGCTGTGCATCCAGCTGTACTCCCATGGGCTGGGCTAACAAGAGCCGTTCGGTCCATGAAGACAGCAGCAAATGCATTTTCTCTCTACTGTGAACGCTGAAGCAATGAGCTTACACTGCAGAATTGCAGAACAATTCACTCTAGAGAACAGAACGAAAAACCAAATGAAAGAGTCCTTTTAGAGCACTGAAGCAGTGTTTTTGTTAGTCATTTATTACACACTGCACTGCTGCAGTACTTGCTTTTCATACTTAACCCGTTGCTTTATCACATACCTACCTTTCTAATTAAAAGAGTCCTCAGGCCCATTCTTCAAGTGTCCCATTCCCCAAGGACTTCAACAAGAAAAGGCTTTTAAAAAAGCAGCTTCTCAATGCACATTTTAAAGGGGAAATAAAGCATAAGAATTACCAAAATTGCCAGTTTTGAAGTTTTATTGAAGTGTTGAATTACCCTTTCCAACATAAATGAAACACTCCCGTAACACTCTGAAGGCAGGATGCACCCACGGTATTTTACAGATAAAGGGACTGGGGCAGACTAGCTGCTGAAAGTTTCACAACAAGCTGGCAACACGTACTGTCCAGTTGCTATGACTCAAGGATGGCTACTGGAGTGTAGGTACCCACAAGTGACCAAAGCACCAGTGCAGATTTTCGCTCTCCATACATAGTGATATCCGATACGCTAACTTACCATCTAATAGCCAGTTGTACTGATCTAGACCTTTTAGCTCATTCAGCATCAGTCGTGTCATGATGTCATCTGGAATAAGCTGCCCTTGATCAATGTAGGTCTTGGCAAGGATTCCAACTTCTGTAAAAGTAAGAGAAGTTGCATTACACTATCTTTGACCTCCTGCAAGCGAAAAAAAGCCAAAAAGCCTGCAAAAAGTTTGTTTTGATCAGGGTTGGCGCAGAACAGTAAAGCTGTAAACAAGGCAGACAGCATGCTTGCTGAAATCCAAAACCAGATCATCAGTTAGGATCTGATCATGAGATCAGAAGATGCATCAGATTAATTTGATGAGTCTGTAGTTCCACAGATGGCAACAGGGCATTCAGCACACCTCTATCCCCACACCCTCCAAATAATTTTACTACTCAGTGTTTGAAATGTTAGCTTCCATGAACTAAAATCAGGACAGGCCATTAGGTGAAAGAGTCTTGAAAAGATGAAATATCAAGGATACAAGTTGTCCTATGAAGACAGGCTGAGAGCATTGGGCTTGTTCAGCTGGGAGAAGAGAAGGCTCTGGGGAGACCTCCTAGCAGCCTTCCAGTACTGAAAGGGGGCCAACAGGAAAGCTGGAGAGGGACTTTTTACAAGGGCATGTAGTGATAGGACAAGGGGCAATGGATTTAAACTGAAAGAGGGCAGATTTAGATGAGATCTAAGCAAGAAACTCTTAACACTGAGCGTGGTGAGGCACTGGAACAGACTGCCCAGAGAAGCTGTGGCTAGTTATGACGTTATGACCTTATGGCTTCACTATGGAAAGAAACGCCTTTGGTATTTGAAAGAGCAGTGGGTATGCAGTGGGACACGCTTGTCAGGTATGTATTTTTATGATTACTAGAGTTACAACAGGATGTTTATAGACGTTGTAAACTATTTATGGGAGCGCATAGACACTTGTATTTTCCCATGGAACTGACTAACCTTTAATACCAGTCATTTAGCCCACAGGCTCGCTAAAATGCCATCCATGTATCACTGTTCTGGATATCACATCATGCTCCTACATGACAGGCAGCAGCATGCGGTAGTTCACCCAAATCATGGGTATAGCCAGGAGTAAATTCATTTGCCTGGCTTGTGTCCTAGGCACAGAGTCTCTGCAGCCTTTGTTTATAAACACTCAATTATGCAAGTCACCTAGAATAGCAGTTAACTTGGTTTTACTTTGGATCTGCAGAAGCCTTTGGTTGCAGCCAATTCAGATTTAGTTACAGTAAACTAAACAGAAGAGAAAATGGGATGGACTGACATAACAACACAAGATATAACCACTTTCAGCAGAAAGCAATGAAGAACGCTGGTCCCACCGCTTGATGCGGTATTGGAACGTGTGATAGTACAATGGCCCTTCTTCAGACAAGGAACTGAAAAGTTTGAAGACCAGTTAGAAATAGGCACTATGCACCTTGGTCAGGCTTCAAATAATCCTCACAATGTGTAGAAGACTCAGACTCCAGTGCCGGAGTCCTCCAGCGCACCACAAACTGGAAAGAAGGTGACAGTCTGCCTGGATACAAAGTGTCTGTTTTCCTTAACTCCCTTCTTCAAGGTCAGCACGTCATACCTCTTTCACTATTCTAGTGCACTTCGAACTATGTACCCTGCAAAAGTAGGCTGTGAAGAGGAATTAAATTACATCTGGACAGTTGAACGTGCATTTGATGCTGAGATCTGTTACTGATTTACGCTGCAGCACTGCTGTAGCTACAACGGTCTAAGAATATGCGCAAGGCAAGGTTGACAGAGAACGGTACTAACGTACTTTGGAAAGACAGATGAGCTTTTGGGCCCAAAGTGGTTTGGAGCATAGCAGTCTGTAAGGTCGTATTATTAGAGCTGGAAATACGCTGCCTCTCTTTACAATCCTCAGGTTGTTTAGAAAATCACTGTTACAGAAGAAAAAAATACGCACAACTGTACACAAATAGCTACATTAGGACAAAAAGTTTGTATACTAGACCACAGCTTCTTTTTTTTCCCCTGTTGTTGGGGGTGAGTTTTCATGAGGTTTTGGTTTTACTTCGTTCTGTTTTTTCAGCTTTGGTCTGAAACCACTACAGGCATTGAAATCTTTGAAATTAAAGGCAACACAGCTTTCTTTCCTGTCTAGGTGATAACAGGTATCCATGTTTCAAGGTTTTGCAAAAGATTGGCATGTCCTAACCAAGGCCAACAAGCTCTAGCCATATTCAGACAACAGGTCACTTCACACTAGAAAGGTGGTCAAAGACTCTCCAGAGCAGCAGAACATGGCAATCACTGCAAATTGCTAAGGACGCTCACATGTTCAACTGCATTTTTCGACGAAGTCCATTTTCACAAGACAGCAAATGCCAATAATGGCACCGTATAACTCTTGTTCATTATATTTAATTTTCCAAGTGTTTTTACTGCCCAACTTAACACAGTTCTGAAAGAACTGGGAATTGCAAGACTCTTCTGTTAAAATAAAAATTCATAAACTCTTTGCCTTGACCAAACTTGTCAAAGTTCTCTGAGTTGTCTCTCAGTCCCTCTCACTCCTTCAGTGTACTACTCTTGCTGTCTCAGTATTCATCTCAATCCCTTGGAGACCATTTCTGCAACCAGTGACTCACTTTCAATAAAATTAAGACAGAGCTTCAACTGGGCTAATTAGTGAATGAAAAACTCTGTAGTAGATTCCTAGAAGTTCTACACTAGTTAATTTGAACCAAACTTCACCATCTCTTCTACCCTCCACTGGCTTCTCTCCTTGCATCCAGGGTTTTAATGTGTCTGCTACACTTTTACTTTATATCTTGGTTCTTCTTCACATTCTTTCATCTGTCCAGCCCACTTTGCCAAATCACTTTTCCTTACACTACTTCATGACTCCCTCCTCAAGTCAAGCAATAGGGTATTTCCACTTGCAATTTCCTCTTCTCACACACCTTTCAGCTTGATTCTGTTGCTCTTTGATCCCACTTCCAACATGTATGGAAAGAGCACAAAACCTAAAGATTTTAGTAAATAACGTATTTTCTTCATCTTCTGGAATGCCTTCCTTTCTCACTAGGTGTTAACTTACATCGAAAGCTCCTAACAGCAATGATTTTGGTTTTGTGACCCTCTATAAATAAAATCTTACGCTTGTGCAACCAAATAGACAGAAAAAGCATGAATATGATCAGATATGCCTGCACAGGTGGTGCTCCTGGCAAATATTTAACTTGCAGATATCAACTGTAATAAAGTCAGTGAACTAAGCTGAAGTCATTGTTCTTAGAGAGCAAATACTCTATGCAAAAAGAGATGTGAAAATCACAACACATGACAATTGATTTCATAATACAGATAATTTTTCACCTTCAAACACACTTATAAGCTTCCAAAACCAGGAATGCCAGTTACCTAACCATGACACTGCAGTGATACTTACAAGTGAATGTAGTCCTCTGCCACTTCAAAGAGCTGGAAATAACAATACTCTCACTTCATCACATTCCACCTGACATGGTTCCTACAGGGTTTTCAACCCCATCGTGAAGCAAAGCAGATGCAGAAGTTAGGAGGGGACTTTTCATGGTTGCAAAGATCCATCTCAACAGAGAGCCAGAGGTCAAGTGAGGACTACATAACAAGTATAATTCACATCATCACCTGCCACAAGCAACTCTGTATGCAAACACAGGCCATGCTGAAACCTAAGCACGATATAAACTTTTTGTAAGATAATAACAATTTTAAAAGCACAAGGTGAGCAGCTTGAAAATTTCACTCACTGTTTTTGGAAAGCATCACTACAGCTATGCCTGCCAGTCCAGGACAAGGCCTTCTAATTTTGGAATGGCTGGAAATTCTAGGTACCTATACTTCTAGCCATCTAACAAAGATCTGAAAAAGTCTGATTGCCCAGAAGTCCTCCTCTCACCCCGTCTGTTAAAAACATGAATATTTTTCCCTTTCAAGATGTTTCAGCTGGAAGACTATCAGAAACACCTACAAAAAATGCTGGGCACTCAAGACACCGAGATGAGGGAACAATTGCGCGTTACAAAACAAGAAAAACGGGATAAACCCCAGAAATGCCCCGTTCACGCTCACAAAGAGGACGCCAAGTGACAGCTTGCAGAGGATCCTCGGCTGAAGCCTTGAGGCCCACTTCGGTGGCCTCTGGCCTGCAGGAAGAGCTGCGTGAAGACGCCGAACCTTCGGGGTGGGGGGGCAGGGCACACAGAGGTGAGACTGAGGAGGACCAAACCCCCTTCAAGAAGCCCCCAGGGGCTTCCCGGACGGTGGGTGAGAGAAGGGGAAGGAGCGGGTCGAGCGCAGG